TTAGAATGAAGTACTTTATTGGTTATTGGAAAGTTTGCCTGAAAATCCTGGGGCAGCACTCCAGTCCCATGACTTGTGGAAGGCCCCCACCCTCTGTTGCTGTGGGTGAGACACTCCTGTCTTGCCTTGAATTGCTTAAGGATCCTCCTTTGGCTCCAGCTGGTCCCCTGTCATGTGGTCGTCACCTCCCTACCTTGGCTTGAGGTTTATTTTTTCTCTCTGAAGGTGAAGAATATGGAGGGAAGCCTGTGGGGCTGAGGAGGGTAAAAATAGAGCATTTATGTCCAGGACTTGGTCCGAAGACTCGCTTCGTGCTCACAGTGACAGCCTCTGCCGGGGCTGTGAGAATTGAAGCAGCGGCCGTGTCCTGAGTTCTTGAGGCTGAGGCGCCTTTGGGAGGGGCGGGGGTGCCGACAGCCGGCAGGGCGCCTGGCTGTGCAGCTTGCATCGGCCGGTGGTCACACAGGCTAAGCAGCTTTTGTCTTCAGCTGTGTTTGGAAGGACCAGAGGACGTGCTCTCCGCCTTGATGGAGAGGGGACTATGGGAATTTTTGTAGCAGGAGTCGGTCGTATTCCCTCTGGTGGATGAAACAAAGGGCTGTTTTTCCGTTTGAGCCTGTGCCAAGTGAAACTGCTTGTGGCTCTTGGCACAAACTGTTCCTCCCTAGATCAGCTGTTGCTTATCCAGAGCCCGTGCCAGTTTGAGCAGGAGGAGAGGGGTGAGGGGGGAGGGGAAATGAAAACAGAGGGAGGTGGGACTGTTCCTGGAGGGCCATGGGGTGGGGTGGGGATGCTGTCCTTCTGTTGCCTTCCTGGCCACTGCTCCCCTTTCCTTTCCAGTCTGTCTTCCAGCTTTATCCTACGGAGGTTAAAAAGTGAGGGGACAGGTGCTAGGTGCAGGGACAATTCCCCATCTTACTCCCGGGGGCTGGTTTTATTGTAAGGCAACCACAGCGGGAGCTGGAGAGGGTGACCTGAGATGGACACAGGAAAAGGCCTGTTCTGACTGAGTGGAGCTCCAAATATAATCACAGCAGGTGCTTAGAGTTCAGACTGCAAAGTCACACTGAAAATGTAGGTATACTTAGTAGTTGACCAGTGATTTACACACATGTCCACGTGTGAGGGACCGCGAGAGCTCGCTACTGACCCTGCTGTCTAGCCTCTTCCTGGCTTTCTCCCCACAGGTTTAACAAGTGGCAGCCTGGTCCTTGTGGGTACCTTCCGCCTCTTTCTTGCCCCCCTCGGCCTGACCACTGGACGTACCTACTGCTCTGAAGCTTTGTGAGGGACGTAACGAGGAGGAGAGCTTTCGTGATTGCCTTCTGAATGTCAGAAGGCAGCAGTCCACACCACGGTGGGAAGCCTGCATCTCCACCTCCCATTTCTCCCTCTTCTATTCTGTTGGATTCTTTTGTTCTTTTATTCTCATTCGATCGTGAAATAGATTTGAATGCGCTCCTAATTATGGGCCAGGTACTGGGCTTAGTTGCTGAACAAGTCGCATGGTCTCTGCCTTCTTGGAACTTACAATCATGCAGGGAAGACATATTAAATGAAACAAGCACGTATTTTGTCCTCGCAGTCGTTAAGTAAANTCTTTGGAGGATGATGGTTTGAGCAGCGAGACTGTCACCTGTCACTGTGAATGTGTGCACTTAGGACCAGAGTCTTATCCCCTGATGAAACTATTAGGAGACTTGTCAAGAAAAGGAAGAGGTGAGATCTGTCACTTTAGGATGAGCAGCCCTTGTTAATGGAAGAGGAATCCTGGTATTTGGGGGATTTTGTCAGCCCTTCTCATTTTTGTTACCATCGCTGTTGGTATCCCGGCTGGGTTGTGTTAATGTGCTTAAGCTTAAACTTAGTGCATGTTGAAGATGACTTAACTGAAGAAGCTTTCCTTTTCCATAGAATAGGTATTCTTTAGAATACCCTTAACCATGCAGAAGGTAGCAGTAAAGACACTCTTGCCTGAAGGAAGTTCACCGGACCCAAAATCTATTCTTTTTGTTTTGTTTTGTTTTGTTTTTAAATCATCAGTACTAACATTTGAACACTGCTTTGGTAAATAATAAGTACTAAGTGAATGTGTGTTGAATAAATGACTCATCATCATTATAATAATTAGTGGCTAACAGTGCCAGGGCTTGTGCCAAGAGTTTTTCATGGATTATTTCATGTTAGCCTGCAACAGCCCTATGAAGTGGGGCTATCGTTTGCCCCATTTTAGAGATGAGATCTGAACCCAGGTATAGCTTAGATAACCTGCACCTCAGGTAGCTCAGGTAACCTGCCTAGGGGCACACAGTTAGTGGGCAATGTAGGGTTTGAACCCAGGTAGCCTGACACCAGAGCTCCTTGGTATGTCCTCAGGTGACATGTGAAACAAAGACCTTGGCAGCAGTCATGTATGCGAACACTTCCTGCAAACAGTGAAAACTCCACTGGAAATAAGTCAGATGCCACAATGAGTGAGGGAGATACTGAGGTTTTTCCAACTTCACTGAAGTTTCACGAAGGCTCTTTTGCTTGTTCGCAGATTCCCCAGGACAGCTCAGATGCGATTGTGAGCAAGGCCATCGACTTATGGCACAAACACTGTGGGACCCCTGTCCATTCAGCCTGAGTGCTCCTGCCAGCGTGGACAGCCTGCGGGGCCCGCCCTGAGCGCTTTGTTCTGAGGGTGTGACCTACTAAACTGATTGAAAGCAGGTTTCTCTCTGTGGTGCTCAAAGTGTAATTTCTTTTCCAGTAAAATTATTTAATGAAGCTACCTGGTATTGCTGTGTTGTGGAGCAGCATTGTTTGGTTACACAGAGTACAGAGTTCCACTCTGAATGCAATTTAAAAGGGTTGTTGGGAGTTTTTAGAGCAGTTCAGCCAGGGAGGGGGGGGCTTTGGTAAGCAGCGCATAACCAAGCCCGCTCTACTTCTCTCTAGTCAGCACCAAGCTGGTGACTCTCTAAGGTCTGTTTCTGGAGTAAAGATTAAATAACTTCCTTTTGTTGACAACTCACATTCGGCCTTTGTTGATGCAGTACTT